TTTGACTTGAATTTGTAATTAGGATCTCAGTTATTAGATGAAAACCGTTTTTCATCTAACAACAGTGATGGTATATGATTTTTAGCGTGTTTCCTTGCCGTATCCAACCTCAATCATGTGACGAATTAGGGTGAGTTCATTCGCTAATTTGCTCATGAATTATTAATGAGTTTGAGATGTCATATGTAATAAACGTTTATTACGGGGTATAAAATACTCGAAAAGTATGTTAAAAAAGTGGCACTAGCCGAGTGATTTTACATGCTTTGAGGTGTTTTATACGCTGGTAATAAACAGCTTTCGAGTTTGTTATATTCTCAAACGGACTTGTATTTAAAGAGAAATTGAAGATATCGAGACAACGATACGGTGTCCCTTCTAGTTTTTGCTCACGCATTATTAATTTGAGAATTTTTTTTATAAAAATACTAATTAGGAGTGTTTTATCAGGTTTAAAGCCACTGCACGTGACATGGTTGACATGATTTGCCAATAAGCTTATGAATTATTAATGAGTGTTTGAAAATTTAATAAACTTGCTGGTCCCTACCACAAGCAAAGGCTTGAAACTAGCAACAGAATGGAAAGACAACTGCAAAACTAGAAGAATACGACGGCTTCAAGTGGAGGGTTTTAGAAGCCGTTGGCCACATGGAGCAGGGCTGGTCCGGTTTCACGGCTTTCATAAACATCCAAAATGACATTTCAACGTTGAATTAGCTCAGTTTGGATCCTATAAACAATATTAAGTTCATTCAAACGATCATTTATGGTCAGGAAAAAAAATTCGTGACTCGATTCATTCGGGATACATTAATCAAAACTAAATGTTGGTACAGATGTTTTATATTTTATGTATTCTATATAGAACCGGCGAAGGTGGTCGTTCATCCCAAAGACATTTGGGTGGAAGTTGACAAAGAAGCTAGGCTAAGTTGCCGTGCATCTGGAGACAAACCTATCACATACACATGGTTCAAGAACAATGAACGTATACTAAGTTCTGCGGAAGTGATCGCTGACCAGCCAGACCTCGTGTTCGATAACGCGATTCTTCAAGATGCAGAGAAATACCATTGTGAGGTTGAAAACTACAAGTATGCCAAACCCGACAAGTCTAGAACCGCTCGCATCGAAGTTTGCAGTAAGTTGGGAACTAAAATAAATATACTTTATATATGCTGGATAGCTCTATCAGTTCTGAACTGTTCTCCCTAGAGGTCCAAAGAGACATTTTTTATTGATCCAGTGTTACTACAGGAGGAAACCTAAACTAAACTAACTTTATTTATACTGGATAGCTCTATCAGTTCTGAACTGTTTTCCCTAGAGGTCCAGAAAGGGTAATCTCTTATTGATCCAGTGTTACTACAGGAGGAAACCTAAAGCAGAAATTAAAACCAGAGTGTCACCAAAACAATCTTGTAGACTTGTGAATTTTAAGGAGATTTGATGATGCAGATTTCATGTTGTTTTACTATGTAGTTTTTCCAAGGCATGATAATCTAAATTTTCGCTCATTTTTAACTAGCTGCTGATGCAGTGGTGGAAATGAAACTAACTGTAGACAAACCACGGCACAAGGAATCCTGTCAGTACTTCAATATAACCAACATTAAGGTAGGCTTAAAAAAGTATATGAATTGTAAGGATGAACATTGATACTTGTCAGCCCGAGAAAATGCTTTTTGTAGTAGGCAATGAAGCACATTTTAATGACAATTTGTATTGGTTAAGGAAACTGTTGAAAGCATGATAGAAGGTGAAATGGCTGTGGTTGAATTTGAGAAGCCTTTTCGGTTATGTAATTTAACGGCGTGCTCTTCCGATCCATGTTTCCACAATGGGCGATGTCAGGTTAACGGATCCGATTTTATTTGTCATTGCCCTCGAGAGTGGACTGGAAAACAATGTCTGATTGATGTTAACGAATGCAAGTCAGGTTGGTACCACTGAACTACCAAATATCTACGCATAACTGGACTACTATTTCAACCATGACTTAGTGTCTTTTTAATTTATTCTAATTTATTCACTCACGTATTCGTTTCCATAGATACCTGTAGTAACAATGGTGTATGCGTGAACAGAAAAGGAAGTTTCTCGTGTGAATGTCGAAAGTCAACAAGTGGAAAACTTTGTCAGTTTAGAGAAAAAGTTTGCAACCCCAACCCATGTGATAAAGCAAAATGTTATCCGAAAGAGGTGAAACAGCGTTATGAATGTCTTGCTAACGTCAAGGCTGTTGCCATGGTGTTCACAGTGGATGATGCGAAATTACCGTTTAAGAATTGGATGTTGTATGACGTGGCTAAGGAAATTGAGAATGCGATCAATGATGCAGCGGTAGTACAAACAAGAAGAGAAAGTATTATAAATGCATTTCATTTATTTTTAGTTTGCGAGCAAAGTCTTCCCATTGAGCACATATGTTTCTTAAAAAAATATAGAAACTTTTTTGTTTCTTAATCTTAAGTATGCTTTTTGACCAGGGAACAGTGTTTCATCATTTGTACACATTTTGGGAAACATGGCTAGGAAACAATGTTTCCTGGTTTGTCACCTTTTGGGAATTATGGCTAGGAAACAATGTTTCCTGGTTTGTCCACCTTCGGGAAACATGGTTAGCAAACAATGTTTCCTGGTTTGTCCACCTTTTGGGAAACATCGCTAGGAAACAATGTTTCCTGGTTTGTCCACCTTCGGGAAACATGACTAGGAAACAATGTTTTCTGGTTTGTCCACCTTCGGGAAACATGGCTAGGAAACAATGTTTCCTTGTTTGTCCACCTTCGGGAAACATCGCTAAGGGAACAATGTTTCCTGGTTTGTCTGCCTTCGGGAGACATGGCTGGGGAACAATGTTTCCTGGTTTGTCCACCTTCGGGAGACATGGCTAGGGAACGATGTTTCCTGGTTTGTCCACCTTTGGGAAACATGGCTAGGGAACAATGTTTCCTGGTTTGTCTGCCTTCGGGGAAACATGGCTAGGAAACAATGTTTCCTGGTTTGCCCACCTTTTGGGAAACGTGGCTAGGAAACAATGTTTCCTGGTTTGTCCGCCTTCGGGAAAACGTGGCTAGGAAACAATGTTTCTGCAACACTAATTCCTAATTTCTCCGGGGCTTTAATATATCGTTTCACTTTTAGGTGGACGAAGCCGACGAGATACTACAATAGTTGATTATAGCAACTGTTCAGTTCGTGTCAAGGAATACAAATTAGTCCAAGACAAGCAACTTGACTTGCAGATAATACTTGTTTGTGCCCAGCCCCCGCAACAGAAATATGTGTGCGATGCCATGTTCAAGCAAGGTATGGTGACGTCATGTACAGATGAGAGTGGTACACGGGAAGCGAAGCCAAAAACTGATCCACCAACCATTAGCCCACAACGGTACGTATTTTGAATTACAAACTTGACCGCTGATTGGTTAAAACCTGTGTCTAAAATCTCAGATCACCATAGGCCTTATTCATAAATCGTGACGAGGCCTCGTATCCTAGGATACGGGAACAAAACGCGGGAAAACCATAGGGGAAAACAAGCGAAAACTGCTTGACAAGCCAAATTCAGATGCTACTGTGTCGACTTTAGCGGCTTGTTTCTTGTTGCTTTTTGCGATTTATAACGATTTTTGTGTGTAGTTTAAGACTTTGTGCCCACACCGAAAGCGGTAAACGAGTATATTATAAAAGCGACCGGTTTTTCTCCCGTTTTTGTGTGGAAAAAATGACAACGTAGCGACAGTGTTTATACAGAAGCGAAAAACAGTATTTTACTGAGATTTTAACGTCAATATAAAGGTTATTCCGTGAAGAATCAAGACAACTATGGAATGGAAGTATAATTTTTCGAATTTGACATAAATATGAAAGAAAACAACGTCAAATGTTATTGATTCCTACGGAAAAATATGAACTATGGCTGTGGCTCGATAGCATTCTGCAAGCAGCTTACAAGTTTAAAAAATGAAGGCTACGTTACCTGAGTGAGTTGTAATCTTATTTCTTCAACAATAGTTTCATATTCCTTACGATTTTGGTGTTGTATAGACGTTTTGTAGCCTTGTTGGTTGTTTGTTTTGGCCATACAAACTACGACAATAATACAAAGTCAAAGATTTCTTTTTTTGACTGACTCCAGCATCTTTTGCTTTAAATATCATGTTATATTTTCTCAGAAGTATTTTTTTTCAACTTTCAAGCTCAGTTTTATAGATATTATTTTCGAAAAAAGCCGTGATATTCACGAAAAAAGCTGCCATAGCCGACAGCAAAAAAAACCATTTTGTCAATTTTCCCGCGTTTTTCCCCGTTTCCTAGGATACGAGGCCTCATCACGATTTATGAATAAGG